GAAATCATTAGTCTGTATTGTTTTAGAAAAACTGTCACATAACAATAAATAGAAATGTATCAGTACTTGTATATGTGAGTACTTCGACAAGTGTCAGTACTTGAAAAAATAGTATCAGTTCATCCTTTATATATATATTTACAAAAAAAATCATACATTAAAACAGGGATGCAGTCTAGTCTAGTCTTGGAGCTGGAAAAGTATTTGTACTTGTACCGAGTACGGTACTTGGTATCTGAACATCCACAGTTCAGAGTATCCAATCTGCTCCTGGATGCAGATTTGTTTCTAAACACAATTAAACTGAATGCATGTAAACACAAGTAAATGCACACAAAACATGTACACGATACCATTTGAAAGCATTCCATGCATTGTATGCATTTAGGAATGTCCTCTAAATGCATATAAATGCGAATAATCGCATGTATGTAATTGATTATGTAAATGAGTCCCAACACTGCATGCAAACTTTTTATAGCCCCCGGAAGCCTGAAGAAGGAAACTAGTAGTCTTAGAAAAAGTTCAGCAACGCCATTCCCTGTATTCCTTTCAGAACAGGTTTCTGGCTCGCTTTTAATGGTTAGTCACAATTTTAAGCAGAAAATACACATCATATTCTACCACCTCATGGGCTGGGTTACAATCAAATGTTTTGCTTGAATTAAAATTAAGATCACTTTTTACAGGCTTAGGAGTATAGTTTACTAATGACATAGTTATGTAAAAATCTGCGCTATAGCAACCAGTTAGATATTTCCTTTGTCTGCTCTCTATTATATATGACACATAAGCAGCTGATTTGAACTTCTGTACCTAACTGATAATTAGCAAGTAATGATAATTGCAAAAGTAGAGTCCTGGAGCCATTTGTACCCAATATAACTACCATAGAAAATACGTCATTTCTTTTTATTGTGTAATTGTACTTTCAACAGAAAGATAACAAAAAGCAATCAAGATATAACCAAACAACTCCTTATTGTTATGTTACCTTTTGAGATGCCAAAGTAATCTACGCATGATACATTCATATTTATTTTTATATTTTTGGAAGAGTTAAATGAAAGAAATTAGAAATAGGGCAAAAAACAGGACAGCAAAAGATGAATAACATAGGATAGGTTTAACAAGGTTGGCATGATAAAGGAATGCTGACAGTGAGATTATTTGTTTTTGCCACTATGCCAAATAAACTCCTAGACTTATTTACACTATTATGTTGTGGTAATGTGTGGCATTTTGAATAGCACCTCAATGCATCTTGCTGACAGATGTGCATTGCGTCACAGATCAAGGCCCCATTCACACTAAGCGGATTGCTGCGCGATTTCTGGCACGATATTGCGCATCTTTGCTGCGTGATATCGCGAGAAGTTGCCGGCCAATGATTTTCAATGGAGCTGTCTTAATGTACAGCTCCATGTCGCCTGTCGCTCGTTGCGGTCGCAAGGAGCGCCTGCAGGACCCTTTTTTCGGCGAATGTCGCACGATTTTTCTATTTTGTAATGCAGCACGACGGTGAAGGTTGCGCTACTGTCGCTGGAACGTTTACCCGAAAGTCGCGCTATCCCGGCCGCGCTATCCTCACACTGAATGACGTACCATTTGGAGCAGATCCACGCGGCCAGGAAAGCGAGACTTTCGGGGCGACGTTCCAGCAACGGTAGCGCGGCCTTCACTGTCGGGGTGCATTAAAAAATAGAAAAATTGTGCGACATCCGCCGAAAAAAGGGTCCTGCAGGCGCGACTTGCGACCGCGACGAGCGACGGGTGACATGGAGCTGTACATTAAGACAGCTCCATTGAAAATCATTGGCCGGCGACTTCTCGCGGCAAAAATGTGTGATATTGCGGCGGAAATCCGCTTAGTGTGAATGGGGCCTTACACATGGCATCAAACTAACATGCATTGTGGTGTACTGCCAGAAATACTGCATGCAGCATTTCTGGTGCATTCTAATGCATTGGGCAGCCTATTCAAATGAATGGGCTGCCTTAACGCAACGCATGTTAACACACGGCACATGCTCCAATAGTGTGAAAAGGCCCTTATGAATCACAAGCAGAGAATAAACCCCAAGACCTCTAGAATCAACACATACTGTAACTTATACTTTGTTGTATTATGCTAAAAAAGCAATCTGTACTCAATATAAATATTTAAATGTAATCATTTGTGTGTACATACTGTATATATCAGATATGTTTTACATACTGTATAAGTACGACATAGCTAAGAATGGGAGTAGCAATTACATCATAGACTTAGTTCAGCTAGCACAGCAGGATTTTTTTTTAAAGTGGCATTTATTTTTTTACATATATGATATGAAAATTGTAATTACATGGCTGAATTAAAAGATCCTTATCCTTGTGTTTTAAGCTCTGTGAATTCAGCTTTATGTCTCCAATAGCAAAGCAGTTTTTAACTAAGCCTCTCAAAAACTTTAAGAGCAATACAATGTGCATGTAATATACTGAGCCGGAGTGAATAGCCGAACGTCGTTCACTTCGGCTCGGTTATTCACTTGGCTGACTTCAGCAGCTAAGTGGATAACCCTAATAGTGTTACATAAAACATCATCAGGGAACAACCCTGCCCCATCCAAAGTTGCTTAGCAGAATATAATAATAAACTCTGTGTGCTATAGGGTTAACCAAAGCCCTAAGGGCAATTGGCAGAGGTCAATGAAAGAACAGCCTGTCTTCCAAGCGTTCCCTTTGATTATACCATAGTGTGCCATGTAATGTACTTAAATTGTTACATACTCTGTTGAATATCTACATCATCAAATACATATACAATGTTATTGTTATCTCTTTGTAATACAGTTAAACAAGTTCCTCTTAAACATTAATGTGGTAATGTAGTAGTGTTTGTTATGATTTATGAGAATATTTGAGAATTAAATGCTTTACTTCAAAGTATCCAAGCGCTCAATTAGTCTCTTTACGGGGGGGGGAATTCTAACCTACTTCTCCCAAGTGCCAATCTCTTACCAAAGTTGATGCAACGTTTAAAAAAAAAGATTACTCACAGAGCGCTACACAGTCCCAAATGGCTGCACGCTCCACCAAGGGTTCTACTCAGCGGCCAAACTATCTTCGTCAATTGGGCTCCACCAGGGAGAAGTCCCACTTCCCAGAAGGGAACTCTAAACACAAAGGGCATCTGTCATGTTTGATTGAACTCTACCACACAGAAGCCACTTATGATCCACTGCCATCTTGGATGTGATATTAGCAGCCACAGCATTCCCCTTCATTCCTCCACCAGGAGCTATACGGTATAAAAGAATATGTAGGAAGGGGAGAAGAGAGGTGGATATGCTGGGTCAGCAAAGAGAGTAATTAGACACTTCCTAAAAGGGAAAGGGGGCTGAGAAGCCCTTTCTGATATTACTTATGACTGATCTGCCTTTGTTGAATTGCTATAAATTAATCAGGGTAGCAAGATAGCAAGATGGCCTGACATTTGATGCAATTTTTACATCCTGATTTATGTGCTAGTGAGCTTTATATGTCAGGGTTATTTTTCATTACAAGGTCTGGGCCTAGTGATGAGATGTAATTGTTTTCAACCTATACATGGTCAATTGTTTGTATTGTATGGGCACCTTAAAAAGTCCCAGGGTGAATTTTCTCCCCTGCATACAATGGTGTGGAAAATGTGATCAATTATGGAATTAAATGTATACTTTTTATTAATAGTAAAACTTTTTTTAATTTAACACTGGTCAAAACAGAAACTTTTTTTTTCATCTTTTTTCTATTGATTACAAAGAAAACAAAATAATTTTGCAAGACCATTTTGCCGAACGAAAAAATAATGTATGTATTACTTTGTTATCTTAAGTAACAATGTTATCTTAAATTAAGATAAATCACATAGTAAAAATGTAAAAAGTTATCCAGTCATTAAAAGAGAACTACGGGGTAAGTGTTTTTCTCCATAGTTCTCCAAAGAGAGATTTCAGAAATCACTCCAAGGAAAGGGATATTCCTGGTGGTCAGCAGGGTCCCCATAACTAGTGTCTCCATCGGAAGATTTACCATCTATTGCTTTTCTGGTGACAACCCAACATTTGGGATTTTCTTTCACTTTCAGTGATAAGGTTCACCAGGACAAATAGAGAGGGTGAATCTCCCAGGGGGATACAGACAGCAATAAAAACCTGATAGGTGTTCTAATTCCTCTCCATGCTATCCAAAACTAAAAAAAGTTTTGGCTTCAGTTGCACTTTAAGTTTAAGACTTAGTGCACATAGGTTGCTTGGAGCTGCTTATAAACATAATTCCATAATTATTACTGGAAAATCATATTCTGCACCCTGTGAACCTGGCCCCATCTTCTCAAATTTCAGAACTAAACCCACTTGGTTTCCTGCAATTTGATCTCTTATAACTTTTTAAAAACTATTTAGCATTTTATGAAATATAGCTTTAAGATTTCTTCAGCTGTATAAACACTCTAGCAACAGATGAGTATCTACAATAATGTAATCCGCAACAAACAATCAGAGTTCAATCGGTCAATGAACATCAAATCTGCTCTTTCATTCAATTAATTAATCAGTCCAGGTTTAATTAGTAAGTGGTTTGTCGAATGCCTGCCTGAAATATGTGAAAATCCAAACTTAACAGTGAACCCTACCCTACTGAACTCTATAGAGGAAAACACAATACTAAATTCTGCAACAATGTTTTTAAAATACTGTACAAAAGGCAGAGGGTTCTTTCAATGCAATTTTGAGAGTGACATTGATAAAACACCAATCTATTCAATTATATGCTTGGGAGATGCCTTTAAGCTGTATGTGGGTGTTACAATGAACCCAAACCTCATCCCTAGTATTTGATACATGAGCCAAGTGACTACTCATTTGAAGTTTAGTTTTGTTAGAGGAAAGTTTTCTACTAAATATAACCATTGTGGTGAAATATTTACTTTTAGACTTTCTAACAACTTTTCTTAAAGTAAACAACCAGGATCTTACCTGAACCAAGTTCCATCCTTTTAGAGATTCGGCAATTATAGAGGTTACTGAAGGGCATACTCCACCAAAAACCATCAAATGATTAGGTCCATACTTGATAGCATCATAAAATGACTTTAATCCTCTTGCGTTGTCACACTAAGAAACAAAACACAAAAAAACAAACAAAAAATCAGATAAAGCCAAGCATTTGATAGCACTTGATAGCTTAAGAATGCTAACTGTTAAACATGCAATACATCGCAGCTATAAAAATCTGTGAACTTTTTTGTTTCCTCTGCAAGGATGTCTTATATTGCAATGTACTGTTTTCATGAACAAATTAAGATATGTTAGTTATATTTTGTGATATGAACACTATATAAGAACAATCGTATTTAACCCTTTCATGATGGGAGACATACAGCCACAAGGGATAGCACCTACTTCATATTTGTTATATGTTCCCATTCACATTGCATAACTGAAAAAAAATAAAAAATTCTGTTTACAATTTTAAGTGCTTTTTACTTGCTACATTCCTATCTAGCCCCCCTCCCCTAAGTTATGTTAAGGAGGGGGTTGTGAGAGGTTATATTTATAATTAATCCTGTCCGTACTGTGCTGGCAGATTTCTTAATTAGTTGTAAACTAAGTTTGAACACTTTCAGTCCCCCCAAAAAAACAATGGAAAAGACAGTGCCCTCTCCTCATGAAATATGTAAGATTTATTAATACATGAAACAGATTAAAAATACTAGCGTATAATCTTGCATGTAATGAATTAATATCCAACACACATCTTCCATCATGAATCAGGAAGAACCGATGCACTGGTAATTGATCAAATCCATACACTGGACCTGCCGGTCACCATAACCATACTAATGTGTTTTGGAGTGCGACCCCTTCATCAGAGTCTGTGTTTGTAAATAATTAAGGACATAGTAAACTTACTATGTTCCCAACAATGAATGAAGAGGAAGTGCTCTACACAACACTTCCAGTTCATTCATGATTGTGGACATAGTAACTGATACTATTTCCTCAGTTTATAAAATGGACAGGAGCACTCAGTATAGAGGCTTCCTGATCATTCATAGCAGGGGCTGCACTAAAGAGATTGAGGACTCTGTCTCCTCAATCCCTTTTTTTGTTTTAAAAGGGAAATATCTGTTTAGACCCCTCATATATTTCCCCAAAGCCCCCAATAGTAAAGTAAAAAAATAAATAAATGAAAAAAAAAATATTAAAAACATTTTTTTTTAAAGGTTAGAAAAATATTTTTGGTTTCAGTTTCATCCTGACAAACTTTTTATTTTCGGTTTCGGTCTGAAAATTCCATTTCCACGCACCTCTAAAAAAATATGTATGTCATCTGTGGAGGACTGATGCAAAGTTTAAAAATATTACCTTGCAGATTCCTAAACATAAGGAAATGCAGGGAGTGAGGGAAGCAACTCGAGCAGTGAAGTGCTCCAGTCACATCTCCACCCCTCCTCACTATTTGCCCATTAACAAAATGCTTTGTTTTTTTCCTCAGATAATACAAGGCATTCTGTAATTGGGGGAGGAGAGATCATGTCACATTCCCCACCCCCTCCTCCATTTGCAAACCTTAGGAAGTATGCAGGTGAAACCTGTCTTAACTTAAACCTCAGTTATCCAGGCAGTGGCGGAACTACCGCCGGTGCGGGGGCCCGGGGCCTGAGGCTGTGGGGGGGCCCAGCGCCAGTGGGGTCAGGTCCTGGGCACGCCCGAGGGCGCTGATGGGGTGAGGGCGGCGGTTGCGGTCGTTGCGGCGAGCTGGGCCGCACAGAAAGAACGATCGGGTGGTGGAAGAGGAGGGGCCGAGGCGTGACCGGAGGCGGGGCTATGCCGGGCCGAGTGAAATGCGACCCGTCCCAGGCAAGCTGACAGGGCGGATCGATCATGGTAGATGCTGCGCCACCGAGCAGCATGGAGGCTCCTGGACTGTCACTGTGGACAGCGAGCGGCACTTTCCTGCTCTTCCAGTGTGGGCTCTGCAGGAGCATCTGACCAGGCTGAGGCTGCACCAACTAGGGCAACAGCAACAAGCAGGTAGGTGGGCTTGGGCAGGGTTTATCATAAGGGCTTGTTCAAACCGAAAGTGGTGCGTTCTGGGGCGGGAGGGGTGCATTGAAGTCAATGACACCACTTCCACGCTCCCCCGCCCCCAATTCGCAATGCGATCGGACACTTGGCAAAACTTTGCCTGCGTTCCGTTCTACTGCAAACGCAAAAAATAGAGCAGGCCCCATTTTTTGCGTTTGCAGTGGAACGGAATGTAGGCAAAGTTTTGCCACGCATCCGATCGCACTGCGGACGGGGGGGAAGGACATGGAAGCGGTGCCACCACGCCTCCTCCCACCCCAGAAGGCAGGGGGAAGTTTCGTGAGAGATCGCGGTATGTTCCAGCAGCTACCACTCTGGAACGCAACGCTTTCGGTGTGAACAAGGCCTTAGTGTTCTTCTGTCTTTACTGCTTTTCCTGAGTCCAGCGAGTCGCTTATTCCTGAGTCCAGCGCATCACTTATTCCCGAGTCCGGTGCGTCACTTATTCCTGAGTACAGCACGCCGCTTATTCCCGAGTCCGGCACGTCGCTTATTCCTGAGTCTGGCGCGTCGCTTATTCCTGAGTCTGGCACGTCGCTTATTCCCGAGTCCAAGAAGGGCACCTCCCTGAAATAAGGTTTTGCAGGTTGGGATGTCTGAGGTGGACGGAAAGTGTGAGCAAGCTTATGGAACTATCAGGAGGTGCTGTAGCTTTGTCTGTCAGAGTGGACTGAGATATACCACTGCAACAGCTGGAGTCTCTCTCCTCCCCATGTTCTCTGTTAGGGAAATAGAATTCAGGTCCAAGGAAAGCTTCTCTCATTTATGTTTAAGGTGCCTGATGTAAACCTCACAATCTCTGTGTACAGGGCTTGTGATCAGATTCTTCACATGCTACCTGTTTAAATGTACTGATATGCTAATCTGTTTCCTGGTTCAACCAATCGCTATATGTTACTGACCACGTCTACTACCTGATGCCTAAAATGACCCCTGCCTGTTACTAACCACATCTTCTGCCTGTTGTCTGTACCATCCCCTGCCTGCTTTGATCATTTCTGCTGCCTGGACTGACCTCTTGGCCTGTTTACTGACCACATCTACTGCCTGCCACCTGGACTGACAAGCTAAGGTTTGTAAATTAAAAGTGACAAAGCTGAAAGACACACTCCCAGCAAAATGTTTTATTCCACTGTGATGAAAGTAGGCACAGTCGATCTGAATACAGGAGCAGTGCAGCATCCTTGCTACACCATTCCAGGAATGCTACATTAGCTACAGCACATCTATTTTGGTTTTATTTGAAGGCCATAGTTCTACATTAAGTTGACAGGCAAGCAATATTTACAGGGTTATTCACAAAAGGGTGAAGAGTTTGGGGAAGGAGAAGTGAACAATCTAGGACACCATAGCTGAACTGGAAAGTGAGCTGAATTTGGGAATTTTTCCAAATCAGCTATTTTGGTCTAGATTGTTCACTTCTCCTGTCTTCTCCAAACTCTTCACCCTTTTGTGAATAACCCTGTAAGACTTTAAGTGAACACTGAACCATTCAGTACTGGCAGTTCTTGTATTTTTGTTCTGATAGATTACTTTAACCTATATGCAAAAAAAAACAACAAACAAACATGTAAAAAGGGAATATAGTAAGAAACATAAATAAATAACACAAAAAGTTTGGACAGGAGGGAATCAATTAATCTGTGTGTTCTTTTTACTAACCAGTACGTAGTAACCCACTCTATGAATATCAATTAAATTGAAAAAAAAAAAGGTTGACTGCATCCTTTTGCATCCATTATTAAACAAGTGCTGTATTTGAACTAGATCATGATCACATTGGATATGATATCAATGGGACATTTAGTACTCTTTATGCAGTGTTGTGGAGGATGCCCTGTATTCTGAGTGAAAGATTCTGCTCATTTTATGTCAAGACAATTAATACCCCTAGGACACAGACAAAGATGAAGACTGACAGCTCTAAATTCCCTTTATTCCTTCTAGGTTACCTGCTGACTTTTATTTTGCCATGCATATAACTAGATCAGACACTAAGAAAAAATATTGTGCATAAAGAATATAGTCATTAATTGGAATATCAATTAGTATTACATGGTTGAGCAGTGTAATATAAATTGGGATGCAGGAACCAAAACATGATTGAAAATATAATTAAAGTACTGTTTATTATACTTTTACAGATATATGTGGAGACAATGCCACAAAACTGCCCCGGGAAAATGTAGCCAGTCTTTTTTTTTTCATTATGTTAGCTAACAATTAAATAGGAATGAGCTGTATGTTCAGTTTTAATATGAGTTCAACCTTTACCCAGTCTGTTCGCAGTTTGGCCACTTTGGGTTCGCTCGCCCGCCCGCCTGCCTGAACCTCTGATTAATGCAGCCAGATGTCTGTCATTTAGCAGAAGTATTACTATCAACTCATTCTTCATTCAGGCTTCATTCACACTTCCATCTGCAAAATCTGTCAGGCTAGATGCTTTGTTTATGCTTCTAGATGCTTAAAATGATTTACATTTATTCAAATTTCACATGCATATGCATTTAGATGCATCTGACCTTAGTCCATTGAAACAGTCCATTGAAGTAGCCAAGGAGATTTCAGCAAATAAAGGTGTGTTGCGTGTACAGGGCCGTCTTTACCGCAGGGCAAAAGGGGCATTTGCCCGGGGCCCTATACCATTATCACGTGTACTCTTACTTGTGAGAATAACCGATACTAAGCACAGATACCGGTGTTCTGTCGAGCTGAATTTCCCAACATCAGCATCTGCGCGTGCGCACAGACCAGTATTAAATCGAAGAAACCGGGATTCATTGACAAAGTATTAAGTTTAAAATTGTTAATTGTGACCGTTAATAATATGCCATCCATCATGTACTGCCATGGACGGCATATTATTAACGGTCACAATTAACGATTACAAACTAATTGTTTGTAAATAAATGGCGGTTTCCTTGTTAATGCGCATGACAGAACACTGGTACTAAATTTTTAAACTGAAGTGGCTGCCTGAGGTCCCATGCTTGGTAGGGACCTCGGCAGCCTTCCTGTTAACC